AGTGCTTTCAAGGGCTGGAGATTATTTCTCTCAGTACTTCTGTGGGGCATCTGATTAATCTTTCCCTTGTCTTGGGAGCTGACCTGTTCTCTAAAACTGCTGCCCTTTTCTCTTTCTTGTGATAATTTAGACATCCCAGACATCGCACATGACACTGTTTCACTGTTGTTGTCCACATTCTTGCCTAATTTTAGCTGTTCGAGATCACTGTTTTCCTTTTTATATCTAGAAAGTGGTGTCACCTTCTCCCCAGAAATGTTTAATTCATTTTTGCTGCTGCAGGGTTCTAAACTTCTTCCTTTCAATTTCTCTAGAATCTCTTTCTCAGCACTGTCACGTCTGCTTGTTGTTCCATACCTATCATCTCGCCGATCGTCTCTCTGGTGTACCTCTGGACTAGCCTTGTCTGCTGGCTTCTGATATCTTCTGCTAGCATCTTCACTAGCACATGTGCTGACATCATCATCTTTCGACAATCCTGACAACCTTAACATCCTGTCCTTTGAATCAGAAACATTTCTAGAATCCAGTCCTTGACCCTGTGAACTTGATCTCAACCCTGCCAGGAAAAGATCAGAAAACAAAGCCCAACTAAGAGGTTTTTCCTTTGATTGCATTCTGTCAAATAATTCTTTTGCTCCCATCAAATATCTGTCAAGCTCTTTAATGCCTGTCTTGAGAGGTGATGCGTCTGTCCGAGTCTTGGACTGACTCCTTTGAGATCTTTTCTTCTTGCTGGTAGGCGCTGAGCATGAAGGTGACCTAGATGATCTTGAGGAAGAAGAAGATGAAGAAGATTTAGCTCTTGTAAACGGGGACCTTTTGTAAACATCCTTGTTATCTCTGTAGAACTTTTCTCTCTCGGCCATGAGGTAATCATCCCTTCTCTGCATTTTCACACTGTCCTGGGGTCTCTCCACATTTCTTCCCTGCAGATCATCCTGTGGTCGATGTTTTGCTGGTTTTTCTTCGGCTGCATCCGAGGGAGGCGGTGGGCTGCCCAGTCCTGGTATGGCCACATTTTTGCTGAAATATTCGGAAGATGAAACTGGAAGAAGTCTAGCAGCAGTTGTAGCTTCAATTTGTGGACCTTTCCCTTTGGACTTCTTGCTTTTCGGGTTCAAATCCTTGTCATCTGTAAAGTAAATACAAAACCTAGTTATGCAACAATATTAATACTAGGTGGATAGGGCACTAGAACAGAAAATTACATGAAATGCACTGTCTCCGCAAGGTCACTAACAACACAAGAAGAGACAGAGTTACGAATACCAGCATTGGAGAGAAAGTCAGAATAAGACCATGTCTGGATTATAATGACAGACAAAGAATTAAATAGTTTGGCCATCTAGTAAGAATGCAACCGGGCCAAACTGCATGCAAGACTTTTTTACAGCATAATATCTGGAAGGAAGGTCAAAGGAAGACCGAGAAACACATGGATAAATTGTGTAGCTGAAACCTGCAGAAAAAGATGAACAAATCCATCACCCAAGCTACCCGAGAAGTGCAAAACAAATACAGAAAACAAAGATGACACTGGGTAACAACCTGGTATCAGTGAGACGGCAAAAGAAGAAGAAGAAGATTAATATAAGGCAGCATTTCCAAATATTTTACTATCACTGACATTGTCATCAAGTGTCTTGTCGATGGACATGGATCATCATGCCTCTCCACAGTCAGTAGCTGACACTACTCCATGCCATGAGAAAAGGCTGTAAAGAATCTTCTTATATTGCCTTCCCTCTCTCTCTCTTTCTTTCCAGTTGTCACAACAAGTTCTGGCTTCCCACTTCTCATAATATGACCAACAAATGAGTGCTGTCTCCTTCCAATGTATACGATAAGTTTTCTTCAGGCCTCCATCTCTGACAAAATAGCTAGGGGGAAAAGGGAGGTGGTCTACCCTAAGTCAGCACTTTCCTGTATGCTGTTCTTGGTCTCTTTGTTATCTGCAATTCTATCTAGGTGCCCCAACCACTGCAGTCTAGGAACCCTCATAATGACAGTGATTGGTGGTGAATTAAACAGGTTATACATTTTGCTGTTGTTTCTCATTCTCCACTGTTTTAATCAGATAGGTGCAGAGATTCATTGTTACACTGCCCTCAAAAGCTTCTAATAAGACTTCACATTTAGTTAGGATCTACTCCAGGTACATTACAAAGCCGTACAGAAGGAGTCATCTTGTTTTACTTATTTATTTATATATGTAACAAGCAGGACAGAACAGAGTTCCATCAGAGACATGTAAATACATCTAACGTAGCTCTTCTTTGTTCCTCCTTTAAGTGGAGTGATTCAAACCTAGATAAGCTTCTCATCTGACAGTAGAAACTACTCTTACACACATTTCTGTTAGTTTTCCTTCCACTAGACTCCATCTAAGGCAACGGTTCTCAACCTTCCTAATGCTGCAACCCTTTAATACAGCTCCTCATGCTGTGGTGACCCCCAACCATAATTTTCATTGCTACTTCCTAACTTCAGTGAATATGTGGAAGTCTTAGTCGACCCCTGTGAAAGGGTCGTTTGACCCGTGAAGGGTTGGCGGCCCACCGGTTGAGAACCGCTGATCTAAAGTAATAAGCAAACATTCTTCTAAACAAACAGACTAACCAAAGAAGTACACTTAAATACTTGTTGTTCTTCTTATAGTCTAGTGTTTCTTCTGTTTCCAACACTTTTCCTCTCTTGAACAACAGCTTCCCAGAATATTCTCGAATTTTTTATTTAATAAAAAAAAAAATAAAAAAACAACAGCAGATCAGATGTCTTGAATATGACTGATGGTTCTAGCTATATTTATATATACATATATATATATATTATTTCAAAGCGTACCTTTCATTTCTTCATTGTCATCAAGGCTTTTGCGTTTGCCTCTTTTCTCCATTTTCCTCTTTTTCTTCTCCTTTACGGAAGATGACGATCTAGATAAATTATGTTCAGATAAAAAACACAGTGAATATATCAACAACAGCCATGATAAACAAGCACAGAAAATGTGTCAATAGCAGCACAAAAGAAACACCTAGTCAATCATTCAGTCAAACTGGTTCCATCTCAACAGTGGTAACAAGGCATTCTGGTCAGATCTCAAACCCTCTCATTTGCTGCTCTTTTTAAACTAAATGACTGGCTTCAGTTTAGTCTTCTAATTTGTTGAATTTTAAAAATGTTATCTCTTTCTGTGTATAGAGCCCGTTTTAACATACGGCTGTGAATCTTGTGCAATAAACAAACAAGCCAATCAATATCTTGAGGCCTTGGAAATGTGGTTTTACACAAAAATCCTTAGAATTCCTTGGACAGCTAAGAAGAGTAACCCAGATGTTCTGAAAGAGGCAGGTACTCAAAGACAATTTATCACAAAAAACAGAGCTGGACAATTATCATTTTTTGGTCCTGTTATGAGATGAGGGGAAAACAGAACATGATGTAACCATTGGAAAGACTTGTGGAAAGAAAGACAGAGGAAGACAGCTCAAGAAGCCTTTCATCATGACATGGAGTGATGTCAACACACAAACTGATATACGCAGTTGTGGATCGCAGAATGTGAAGAGGCACGATCGCATATGTCAGTAGGCAAGCCACCTGAGGAAGATGATGATGATGATCTCTTCCTGTTACTCTTGCAGCTTTTCTAAGACATATCTCTCAGACCATACTAAAACAACAGACACACATATCTCGAACCTTCAACTCAACAGACAAGGTAGATTTTTTCTTGAAGAGACCCAAGTTGAGTAACTTTATGGCACTTATTTATGCCACATGTTTTTTAGCCGCAAACTTCACTTGTAGTCTGTGATATACTGTGAAGCTGACTAATTCTACTTTTCAATTTGGTTTAATAACTTTTAATGATATACACCAACCATAAAAGAAAATTAGTAACCACGGAAATGAGATGTCTGAGAAGGGCTGTAGGAGTGACCATAAGAGATAAGATCAGGAATGAGATCATAAGAGAACAAGTCGGCACAGAACCAATTCTGGATTACATAAAAGACAGCAAGTGAAATGGTTTGCCCACTTAGAGAGAATGCCTTGTGACACCATACCATACAAAGCATACATGGAAAGAGAAGAAGGACGTAGAGCACGGGGTAGACCAAGAACAAGATGGAAGGATAACATCAGAGAAACTCTACAACAGCACGATGTGCCTATGGTCGAGGCAGCCAGAAGAGCTAGAAACAGAACCTTATATCTCCCTCGACACCCACAGTGGTAAAAGAGGAAGTGAAGAAGAAGAAGAAGAATGATATACACCAAGAAGCAATGATATACAGACCACGTGTGAAACAAAACCAAGGTCAGACATGGCAGTCTCTCTGGAATCTCCCATATACAAAACACAAACAAATAGGTACTCTTCCATTCTTTATACTTCACTCAGACCCCTCAAGGTAAAAGAGGAAAAGGATGAGATGAAAATGAATAGTTGAGAGGGGAATGAAGACAAAATGAGAGGGGAATAAAGACAAACATGAAAATGAAGATGACCAGAAGATGATATAAGAATGAAGATGAGATGAGAATGTAGAGGATGATATGAGAAAGAAGACAAACATGAGAATAAAGATTAGATGAGAATGAAGAGATGAGATAGAGATGTTGAGAGGAGAATGAAGATGAGAAGAGAATTAAGAAGATGAGATGAGAATGAAGATGAGAAGAGAATGAAGAAGATTTGAGAATGAAGAAGATGAGAGAAGAATAAAGATGAAATGAGAATTAGGAGAGAATGAAGAGATGAAAGAAGTAAGATGAGAAGAGAAGGAAGATTATGAGAGGAGAATGAAGATATAATAATAAAAATACAAATGAAGATGAGATGAGAATGAAGATAAGATGAGAATGAAGATGATGAGAGGGGAATGAAAATGAGAATAAAGAAGAGATGATAATGAAGATCACATGAGAATGAAGAGATGAGAGAATGAAGATGAGATGAAAAGGAAAATGAGATGAGAATCACAGTTAACTGTACCTGGATTCCTTTTTATGCCTTCTCCTATCTTCACTGGAGGAACTACTACTACTACTGTCGCTCCGTTTTCTCCTTTTTGACTTCTCCGAGGAACCAGCACTTTGTCTTCTTTGCTTCTTTGTCCTATAAGACAGTAAAAAAGACCTTTTTTTGAACTTCTTCTTCATGTTCACTAGCTGTAGACTCTGGCAGAAAGTTCTGGTTGTTCACCCACTTCTTGATTTTGGTCTTGTTCCAGAACTTGAGTTCTGAATGCATCTCCGTCTTACAGATCTGGCTTATCTGTATGCAGACTGTTCGTGCTTCATGTCTCAGGCAGATGTATTGTGACTTCAAAGAAAACATCCACGTCTATTAGGGGCTAGGGGCCCCAGTCTATTCTGTTTTCCTTAAAATGGGGCCCCAGAACCCAAGCAGGAGGTTTTTCTCGAAATTGCATTCAGATTTTTCTCTTTCTGAGACATCCTTAAGATTTAGGCAGCTTTGGTACCATAATGCCTGGATCAGAGCCAGCACAAAGATCATCGGTTCGAATCTACACTGGGATAGGTTTAAAAAAATGTAATTGAACTTGGCTCCCAGGTTCAAATAGCCTTACATTGGTACCAGGAAATGCAGTAAAAAGTCAAAGCAGCTGTTGTCATGTTGACATCACCCACTGAGTTTCAACTGGCCAATAGTGACATACCCACTGAGTTTCAACTGGCCAATAGCGACATACCCACTGAGTTTCAACTGGCTTATAGTGACATACCCACTGAGTTTCAACTGGCCAATAGTGACATACCCACTGAGTTTCAACTGGCCAATAGTGACATACCCACTGAGTTTCAACTGGCTTATAGTGACATACCCACTGTGTTTCAACTGGCCAACAGCGACATACCCACTGAGTTTCAACTGGCTTATAGTGACATACCCACTGAGTTTCAACTGGCTTATAGTGACATACCCACTGAGTTTCAACTGGCTTATAGTGACATACCCACTGAGTTTCAACTGGCCAATAGTGACATACCCACTGAGTTTCAACTGGCCAATAGTGACATACCCACTGAGTTTCAACTGGCCAATAGCGACATACCCACTGAGTTTCAACTGGCCAATAGTGACATACCCACTGTGTTTCAACTGGCCAATAGTGACATACCCACTGTGCGTCAACTGGTCTCTACTGACATCATCCACTGAGAGCGAACTGGTCTATATACACAATTGAGAACCAAATGGTTTCTAAAAATACATTTAGCACTATATGCCCAATGTACCCATTGGCAGGGAAAAGGTTCTTTATATTACTGTGTATATTTAAAACAGTCAGGCCTGAATGCAGAACGATACTGGTCACAAACAAACATTGCTGTCATTCTTCTTCTGCCTCTCTATCTTCCAATGGAGCATAGGCTCTTAATCAACTCATGCCAAGTTGTTCTATCCTTGGCTATTGTATGGAGCTTTTCCCATGTCCTCCCCATCTTTCTAACTTTATTCTCCAGCTCTCTTCTCTTGCTGTCATTACTGAGAAGGCACCAAATAAAATTAATGGACAGCAACTGTGTTTCATTCATATTCTCCAGAAAGAAAACAAAATAGTGGTCACATCTTCACCTCTAGATGGTCATTCTAGAAATGAGTTCCCTATTGACATCCTGGCCAACATAGATAAGATCAACCTTTACTTTAAAGTCAGAATGCATTTGCCTATGTGGTGAGAATCTACCAACCTGCACCAAGTAAGATAGATTTGGAAAACAGATTTTCATAGAAAACTCTCCTTCTTTTTCAGCTATCTCTTATGATCACTGTGGACCATAAACTGGGATGTCATCTCAAGTTCTCTTAGGTTTCCCCAAAGCTTAGTTGTCAGGTCTACTGGGTGTGACCACATGTCGATTCACAGCTCCTCCAAGAGAGGACACTCTTGCAAGACAAGTTCTGGGGTCTGTTCAGCATGAAGACTGGCAGACAGCTGTCCGGCCCATACCTAATTTATATGAGTGTTTGTTGAGTTTGCAGTGTCCAGTGTGTAAGCAATGGATTGTAACTTGGTCTGTTCTGTTCACATGATTGAGGAAATCTGTTTCATAGCTATAACCTGTGTTTGTTTTCCAAACTTACATGGAAAACTGAAGTCCTGAAACAAGACCAAAGTAGACACAGACGACCAACTAGGACTTTCTGTCACAGTGATTAGTAATTAGAAAGGATTATCATCACAGTACTCCGGACAGATGCATAAGTGCTCCGATCTTAAAAAGCTCCACAAGTGTAAAACGACTTATGACACCTGTTCTGTGTTGGTTAATGAAACGTCTTGTCCCTTTAGTCAAATGTTCATTTCTTGCAGCTCCAGGCTGCAACCCCATGTCCATCAGCCAAGACAGGAATACAGAGCCATGTCCTTTGGCGTGCTCCTCGGTACGGTAAGTGCAGAGCATGCGATTGATAACATCACTTCTGTCCAGTACTGGACCAGCCATAGCAACCGCAGTGTCAGCAAGATAGTCTGCACTCTCGTTCCCTTGAACACCAGCATGACCTGGCACAAAGATGAAGGTTAGGGCAGCTATTCGTGAAGTGCTTAGTGTTGCAATCCATTCTAGCCTGATAAATCCAGCTTGGATTTTTTAAGCATCTTCATCAAGTCACTAAGAATGCATACGTTTGTAAACTTTCGAGTACCAAGCCATGCTAACACCCTAGTTCCAGACACAGTTTCCATTGTGAGGCTTCTAGTTGTAACAGCAAAGTTCACAGCCAGTGAACACAATAACTTCTGCTTCAGCATTCCAAGCTTCTGAAGTTCACTGCTGCTGATATCACCTACCTCCGTTCATTTCTGTGAATGATCTTCTCCGTCCAGCTGGTAACTCCACGTGTTTAAAGGTCCTGTCTGTATAGTATATTATCTCTTCCCTTTCTTCTTGGTCTGCCTCATAGTCCATTCACATTCAACTCTTTTTGTGAATGCAGTTTTTGTCTCCCTGTTACCTGCATTCTCTTTATATTTCCTAAACCAGGGCTATTCAACTGGCGGCCCAGTGGCTAACTCTGGCCCGAAGAGGCCTATCATGTGACCAATAGATCACCTTAAAATTACATTGATTTAATGATCTTTCTTTGCTGAGGCTTAGGCCTCTGGCCCGCAAAGATATCTATTCTCCAAAATGTTGGCTCCTGCGCAAGCATAGCTGAATGGCCCTACCCTAAACACTGCAGTCTATTCATAACACCTGTAATCAGTGGGTGTCTAGAAAAGGATAATAAATTTCATTGTTTTATCTCATTCTTCACTGTTGGCACCTTTGATTGAATCAAAGAACTGTCATAAGAACAACTATAACATCAAACACAAAAGCCTTTCTTACTTCATCTCTTGTTTCTTATCTTCCTGGATGAGCTGCCTGAGCTTATCAGCACTCTTACTAAGAACAGAAGCCTCACTGTCCCCTTCTTTCTTAATCTTGTGCTCGTCCTGCAAAAGTATAAAATACTCACAATAAACCTGCAGCATGACATTACATCGAGGCCCCCACCCCCTTTTTCTTGAAGACTGACCACCCCTGAGACTACAAGAATCTTCTCCTGGATGGTAAATCACAGCTAACCCTTTTATCTTACAAAGACGTTATAATTAGGGCATTTATAAAGACTACACCAAGCACTACTCAATGAACCCTATGTGTAAAGGCGTGGATGGCAAAGCAAAGAGAACTGATCATAATAAATTGTTTCAGTAGAAAGAATGTGGTTTTGCAGGGGGAAAAAGGAGGAGAGGGGTGTAAAGGTTCCGGAAGATATACAACACTGAAGGGGAAACAGAGGCAGACATTTAATCAGGTTACAAATGGTACTATTAGCATGACTAATCTTCGTTGGCTACTGAAAAAGTGGACACAGCTCAGGTAGGAAAGCCATGGGGGGCAGTGATGTCCATTCCTGATTTGGTTCAAGTAATCTGCAAACACACACCTAATGTCTTCACATAAAATGTGTTGGCCTTTCATTCATGCTTGGTGAGCTTTCTCACGCACTGGTCTATGTTACAGGGGTGTCAGGTTGTGTCGCCTTTGATGCTCTCAGCTTTCTATATTGCGCGTTCTGAGCGGCCAGCAACACGTTGTCTTTTACTCACCGGCCACACAGCGTTTAAAACCTTCTCGGACTTCAAGTATGATATGAATTTGCTTCAGCAATGATGAGCGACAGAACAGCAGCATTTCCGGTGACACTGCGTATATTATAGGCTTCATAGTCATGGGACATAGACTGTATGGATTCGTGGGACATAGGCTGCCCTCTCTTGTGGGATGTAGGCTGATGCTGTGGGGCAGAAAGGTTGGGGTTAGGGCCAGTTCTAGATGTCCTGGGGTCGTTAAAAGTGCTCACAATGTGGAATATAGAACAGGCAATGTTGCTGGCCTCTGACAAAGAGTAAAAGTCAACATGTTGCTGGCCGCTCAGGCTGCGCAATATAGAAGGCTGAAAGCATCAAAGACAACATAATGTGACATCCCTGTAACATAGATCAGCGTGTAGGAAAGGTCACCAAACATGAATTAAATCCCAACACATCTCTCGCGACGATTGACTGACTGATTAATTAATATCCCCTGAATGCTGAATGGTCTATAATATACAGGTATAGCAATAGTACACCTGAGAGGTGTGGAAAAAGACTCTTTACTTTCTCGTCCATGTGCATGGCTAGTGCAGCTGCCAAGTATAAGCCCTGTAATTGGGATTACAATTTCTTGCATTAACCAGGCCTCAGGAGGCCCATAGAGATTTTTTGAGCAGCGCGAGTTTCAAGAATATAAAATGTGATTGGAAGACTCAAAAAAAGGAATAGAAGTACTAAATTCCCTCTGGTGAGCTTTCTAGTCACAGATGAATTTAGTACTTCTTTGTATCAGCTCGACTGTAATCAATTTACGTCATCCGTTTTAAGAAGACTGGTCCAAGAACCAATTAGGATCTATCAGATGAACTTGGGATGATACGCTTTTTTAAAAAGTAAACTTTAAATCTCATTGTTATATTTTAATCCAACATCCTATCATCACCAGCTATCACCTTTGTTAGTTTATATTATAAAACATTTTTTGGGGTCACTTTCCCATGTGGATTAGAGCCTCACCTAGGAAGGAAGTGGGGAAAAAAGGGGGTGGGGGGGGGGGGGGGGGAAGGAAAGACTTATGCCTCTTAACAAGCATGCTGTAAGAGTCAGGTCATTTAAAGTTAACTGAAATGGGATGTGTTAGGTTGAAAGCAGCAGATAATCACAGCCAAGAACTAGACAAGGTGACAGATACATGTATCTTTCAAAAAAGCAAACTTTCATCACTTTGCTGAAGCTCACATTAACAAAATCAAGCACCAGTCGAGGTGATTTCCTTACTGCTCAACAGTTTATTACCATTAAACGCTGGCAAGCCTCTAATAAATCCCTGGCCTCCACACGACCAGGGTCAAGCTTTAACACCTGACAGTAATGTACTGCAGCTTCTGTGTGGTTTCTTTTATCTTCACAACTAGGGCAAAGGAAAAAAAAAAGAAATACAGATTATTTTATGAAACATACATGCAGTAAATATATTTGACAAATGTTTACCTAGAAATGTGAAAGAGGATTCAAAAAAAAAAATAAGTTCAATAATTTTAAAACAAATGCTGCGGATAAATGTTGAACAGAAAGAAAGAAAAATACCATAAAGATCTTGTAATATAAAGCTTAACCTGTGCTGCTAATCAATATAATTAAAAACAAATATATATATATATCCTCCTCATAACATTACTAACACACAAGGTATTCACAAATGATCTCACCGTTAATGTTCTGCTGCTATTCTGCCCGTGGTATCCCAAGTCAATTTAACTTATTTCATTTCCATGTCTACTGTCCTTCTCTGTATTTCCTTAGGTCGTCCCCATTTCCTTTTTTTTTTCTCCATCTGCCAACCACTTAAAAGCTGTCACCCGCCAAAGAGTCAAGAGGGATTCTACAAACATGTCCAAGACGTCTTCATCACCTTCCTTTGATAGCTTTTGTTTTGTTTTTGACCTCGCTTCTTATCTGAGATCTTGACTGGCTCAAAATATTCCCAGGAACCTTCACAGACATTTATTTTGAGTCTCTAGTTTTATGTGTAATTCCCTATGTCATTTTACAACACTCACTGTTGTATATTAGTATTTCCAAAATGTTGCTGCTGTGTATCAGTCTGCAGTGGAAACCTGGAGAAGTTCTTGGAATTGTGGTATATGGACCACAAGGTGAAGAAAGGGGTCTTTAATGCTGCTGCTTTATTTACCTGACCCTATTTGTCAAAAAGTTATGTGCCATCTATATAATGATGGAGGGCTACAGTGCATCTCTGGACTAGGCTGGCTGTGTGAATGATATCTCTCATGGTTCAACAGACAAAAAGGCGATTACCAGCAGGCTCTGTGGAGAGCTTCGAGTAAGGCAGAGCACTTAAGATGCCTTGGTCATCCAATGCACCTTGGTCCATTTCCATTTCTTGACACTGTCCTGCCACAGGATCAAGATGGATACAGGGAACACAGTGAGGCCTACTTAAATCTCCAAATCCTTGTGCAAGTCACTTTCACCCAACTACTACTGCACAGAACTGTTCTGGATGGCATACATCTGTGAGGCATGTTGCATCAGATTGACAAACATCAGAGGTTGCACATGCAGAGAAATGGAGGCAGTCTAGAAATAACCGTTTCGCTAATCCCACACCTACTGCGGCTTCGACCTGTTATCTGCACTGCACAAGAACTGTTCAGGTTCACACTGAACTAATCAGCCACCCTCGTACTCATAATCATTGATCATTACTACTTTGGATGAAAAGTGGACGAACAATACAGCAGTTGCACCTACAGCTGTCTTTGGGAATGTTATGTGGCGAGGCCCCAATCTCCTCCATGGTGTGGTGCTCAACCTGCTGTCCAAAAATCCATGTTTTTTTGTTTTCGTTTTTTACCATCCATCGTGGCAATTAAACACTATTACTTGAGGACTGCCTGTTAGCCTTTCTCCTCTTTGCAAAAGATTTACTGACAGTTACCGGTACAATTGAAACTGGAAATCTTCGCTAGCTGCTAAAGATGGGGATGCAGCAATTATGGGGTGTCCCTAGTGCTATGATGTCAATTCCTGATTCAACATTCAACAAAAGATTTACTTACGTTTTGCCAAATGCCAGCAAGGTTTCTATTAGGTATTTTTTGGCATTTTTGTGATTTGGATTGATGGACAATGCTGCCTCAAAGTCTTTAACAGCATGATTGAAGTTTTCATTGTTTGCGTATCTGAAAATACACAAGAGTGACCCCTCTGATTTACAACAGACTGTTAAAAACTTTACAGAACACAATTGTTAAGCCATATCAATTGCATTTGATGTTACACAAAGTTCCTGCTCAATTACATCAGGATAATAAATAAATTGACATGGACTGATTGGGACTCACAGAAAGAAGTAGAGAGATAGGAGGATAGAGAGAGAAGCTGATGACAGACTTTAGCTACTGGTGATAGATTTATTAGGGATGTCGAGTTGGTCATGTGTCGAAAAAAATGTATTCTTGCAGTGAGGTGCTGTTGTCATCTGGAGGTGACAGGTTCAATTCCTGGCATTGTAACCTCTTCTGTGTTGACTAGTGTGTCCTGTCTCTCTACTTCTTAACATGAATGCCAATCTTATATGTCACTTCTTTAATATCGTTTCTATGGCCTCAATGTTTCCCCTCCTGATTATTTTGTGAATTTAATCAGCAGCTTTAAAGGACCCTTTTCCACGCCTTAAGGCATTTTGGACGGACAGGGCCAGACCTATTATTTATAGGCCAATTGGTACTCGGTGGGGATGTCAACACCACTCCGGCCACTTTTACTTCCCAGGACTTTATCTAGCATCTATTTAAGGCTGGGTTGACCTGATAGCCAAGGTCAATTTGGGAAGAAGAAAAAAAGTCTAGATTCATCAGGGTCTGAGCCCATAACCTTTGGTTCTGCAGGTGAGCATCTAGCTACTATACCACAGCAGCCTACAGCATGCAGTCTTTCAAATATCCATCTATTTTTCATATCTTTCAATCTCAATTCAAAAGCATTTTGCTTCATAAATTAGAAACGACTTAACAGGACAGAAAGCAGGACGGAACTGTGTGCATAAATTATATTTTTTTTTTTTTTTTTTTAGCGTTCACAGACATAAACTCTGTTGGCAATTACTGGTTGTTCGTCCATCTCTGGACTTCCAGAAATTGATTATGCGTGTACATCCGTTGTACAGATCTGCCTTATCTGTATGCAGTCTGTTGGTTCCTCGCCTCTCAGGCAGATGCACTCTGAATGAAACATCCCCTAATTGACTTTTATGACTTGCTAGTTAGAAGAGCAGTAGGTCCATTCTCCCCCCCCCCCCCTCCCCCACCCCACAAATGAGGCCTTGGAACCCATACGAGGAGCACAGATTATATCATAAAGGCTTGATCATAAAGGTTTAGAATTCCCGGACAGAATTATGTACATAAATTAAATCACATAATTCATATATGAGTGTGTTGGGAAATATGCAGGCAGATAGACTGACTGGTTCTGCACCACTTGATGTATGACAAGCTGGATGTTGTGAGGGCCCGTTGGGAGCAAGTGAACAGTGCCGAAGAACAGAGAAATCATTACACATTACAATCTGAGAAAAATGGCACTGCGAGGAGTTACAAGGGAATCTGGCCAACGTTCGACACTCAGGGGAAAGGCGAGACAGATGTACAATCAGGCGGTTACTGGTCCATTGGAATTTTAACTCTTCGCTTGCTGCTGGAGATGGGGATGGAGCGCTTATGGGGGTGTCCCGTGGGCTGTGATGTTAATTCTTATTTCAACATACATGAGAGTAGCAGAATAGAACTTTGGGTCATTAATTATATAACATAAGGCTATACTACATACAGTACAACGTAGGATAGAATTGTGTGATATAAATTATATGAAATAAGGCTACATCATTTACTGATAAGAGTTGTAGGACAGAATTGTTTGGGGTATCAAATACATAATGCACAAATACATGATAGAATTGTGAGACATATAAGATATAAATATTTCCCATCTTTCAATACCTGAGATGGCAGCTTGACAAAGTCTTTGAACATTGTTCCTACTTCTTCAATTTCCAAAGGCATCTGTTCTCATGTGATTCTCAACAGCGAGAACTGATGTGTCTTGCCAATGTTCTTTCTTCTTCTCAAAATTCCTGTGCAGTGTTGATTTTCTTGTCTCTTGACAACAGGCATGTGTCCCGTCAAGGTTCCCGTCTTGTCAATCTTTCTGTACCTTGTCAATCGTCGTCTTCTGTGTTTGTCTTTAAAAGTGTGGTTGGCATGTTGTGGTTTTTAGCTAGGCTGTGATATCTGAGTCTTTTTGCAAGAACACATGCAATTTCAGCAAACGCCTAACTAGTTTTCATTTTTTTAACTTTTTGTTGGGGGGCGGTAAGATTATTCGGCCTCTGCCCCCCCCCCCCCAATGGGGCCCTGAAACCAACACAGTGATGTCGATTTTCTTGTGCACTGTCAATTTTCTTGTGCAAAGTCAATTTTCTTGTGCCTTGTCAACTTTCTGGTGTCTTGTCAATCTTTGTCTGCCTTGTATATTCTCTTGTGCCTTGTCAATTTGTGGTGCCTAGTCAATTTTCTGGTGCCTTGTCAATTATCTGGTGACTTGTCAATTCCCTGGTGTCCTGTCAATTTTCTTCTATCATGTCAATTTTCTGGGTGTCTTGTCAATTTTCTGGTGTCTTGTCAAGATTCCTGTGTTCTGCCAATGTTCTCAAGCCTTTTCAATGCTGTAGATGCTGCCATCAGGACAGGACTTGCAAACACAAAGGAACTAGCACTGCTAGGCATTCGTGTTTTCTTGCAGATTGTTACAGGTTCTATAGCTGTAAATAAGAGAATATAGAGTTTCCCTGCTTCAGACGGTTGGGTCCATGACTTTTCCAGACACACTGCTACATCTGGGAGCTTGATCTGTGAGTTCATGGAGATGGCCGGCTGGCCGTGAAACCAGCAGGTGTCACAAAGACGTAAACAATCAAGTCGAAATAAAACTAGCTTTCTGTATTCCCCAGCCAGCCTACAGATTTAAAAACAAAATACATTTACTCCAACTAGTTGATTGAATAAAATCTAAAGTGATAACTTTTATACTTATTTTACTTTGGACCAGTGTTGCCCATATGGTAGTCTGCGGAAGAAGTTTCAGGCATCTGTGATATCATTCTCTCCCTCTCACACACACAAAAACAAGAGGGCGCGCGCACACACACACACAACTTTATAATGAAATCTTTTTTCCTGACTAATATTTATAATAATAATAATTATGAATGTTTAAAAAAAAGTATGACTATTTGAAAAAAAGTAAGCAGATCTGCAAAAATAAGAGGGGTTCAAAGAGTCTTAATATTAAGGAACCCCTACTTTAGACAAAGATTTTCATTAATTTCATAGTAAAACTGTTGCTGTTAGGCAGCTATGACATCACATCATTAGAGTCAGATCTACAGGTATATAGTCTACCCCAGCAGATGTCAGGATGCATGGATTATTCTAAGCTACCTTCCATCTAGGGGCCTATTCAACAATTCAATGTAGTCTCCTAAATCAACTTCTCGTCCTGCCTCCTTGAGAGCACTGAGAATGTCAGCTCGGTCCAAGTCAATCCACTCGTTCATTTCCTCTTACTCCCGAGTGTCCCGGCACAGAAATGAAACTAATTCCTTTCAGATGAGATTCCCCCTGGAACTCGAACCATTATCTTTGAATCCCTCCTGTCTCTGTTTTCTTAAGCATGCTCTTGTAATCACATAGAAAGCATGCATAGGGGAAAATGCTGTGGGTAGTTCTGATGTAACACCAGGCTCTTTTAAAGTCTGCCAACAATAGCCATTCACGGTAAGAAATGCACTCAGCATAACCTTAGCATCAGAAACCTGTAACTTGAATATTTGCTTCTGGTGATCCAGCATGCTTCCATTGCAAGTTCTCCCGTTTGCTGCTCAACTTCTCAAAGTGGTGACACCATGGTTCATCCCCTACCACTATGTGGGAAAGAACAGCATCACCCTTCGCTCTGTAATGCACCAAGCGGTTTAAACACAATGTGTTCCTACTTTTGGTGGTCAGTCAACATGTGTGGAACCCACTGTCCGATACTGTGGTTTCTTGTGAACAACCTTCTGGTGTGACCCAACACACTGAATTCTTTTGCAAGCGAGAGTATACTTTGATAATGGTTAATTTTTGCTGCATTAAATAATGGCAATGTTTTATTTTTCAGTTGCAACAATTTGCGCTTAACCCATAACTCAAGTATCTTCTGAAACATTCCTGCCCAGCCTATCCTTGCTGTCTTCAATATACATTTGTCACCACTTACTGCCTGCATGAATATCGCTGATCGACATTCTTAAAAAAGAACAGAAATTTAATTACCACTCATTCTTTGATGTTGTTTCCTAAATTTAACTTATCCCAGAGCTGTGAGTGCCTGTATCTCAATCTTTCCCAGTTACACTTAATAAATTACAATATTTCTCAATTACACTTAATAAATTACAATCTTTCTCAATTACATTTCATAAATTACAATCCTTCTCAATTACACTTAATAAATCACAGACTTTCTCAATTACATCTTATAAATTAAAATTCACCTCAATTACACTTAATAAATCACAATCTTTCCCAATTACACCTTATAAATTAAAATCTTTCTCGGTTACATTTAATAAATTACAATCTTTTCAACTAATCCTAAAGTTGGATGATGTGACAAAAATCAAACAGGATTAAATTAAATACAACATGAATCATAATTTCTTACCTGGTGAGATTTTAAACTCATTGTCCCATGCGTTACTAACTGTCCATGGATCACAAAGAAATACGAACAGATTTTAGTAACAGTTGCCATATTTCTGGTATAACTGTTACTAATATCTGACAGCTGAACAACTATCCGTCGTAAGGTCAGTGAGGTGAAGTAATGAAGACATCAACGCCTGTCTATCAAAGAGCAAGATATGTTTATCTGGCACTTTGATAGACCAAGACCGGAGTGACTAAATGCTTTTCTGTCAGACCAAAGATTTTGGGTTCCGATACACATTAAGACAATTTTATTTTTAAATTGACCTGGGTTTTCAGCTCGCCCCAGTCTAAAATGACACAAGAAAATATCCTGGGAAGTAAAGGTGACTGACATACATTAATAGCACACGTCGAGTTCAGATTGACTA